TATATCTTTTATATAAAGATAAGAGTTTAAAATATATGTTTCAAAGTAACAATCCTCCATTTCATTTATATTATAAAAAGATAGACATGGTTTTGCTAAATTTAATGAAGAATAATCATAAAAATAAATTTTAAATACTTAAAAAATAAACTTATTAATGTTTTTTAAATATTAATAAAATTTGAAAAGCCATTTAATAAATTAATAAAAAATATTATTAGAAGCTAATTATTTATTAATTCTGTATTTATATAAAGTACCATGCATTTTTTCATACCATAAGTTCGCAACAAAAGAATTTCTATTAAATCAAAATTTAAGTACCCAATCTATCTCTATAATTATCTAATTCTCAGCAAATAATTTAATTTTTTGAGTTTGAGTTTAGTTGAACTTTCTGAATAATATTTTTTTTACTAGTCAGATAAGTTTATTTTTACTGAGTTTAAAGTATTTATAAAGTTAATTTTTAAAAATTTAGTCAAAAAAATAATTTTATCATTAAGTTTATGACTCAATTAAGTGGTATAACTTAATCAAGCATTTTATCTTTATTTAAAACTATTGTTTATTTATTTAGTAAAAAATTTGAAAAAATTTCTTTTTTTTAATATGTTTTTATTTTTAAAAATATAACTTAAAAAGTTAATGTGAAATATCATAAATAAATCTTTCCTTAGCATAATCCATATAAATATAAATTTAAATTAATTAGTTCTATGAATTTTAATCATATAAACTCAACTCAAAAATCTTATTTTAATTAAAAATTAGATATTTTATTTAATATATGCCGCAATTTGTTATATCAAGCTAATATTATGCCGCCCTAATTCACCTACTCGCATTTTTAGTCCCAGACACAATCTAAAAATTTTATTTATGCTTCGTGGGGGAATTGTCTCATTTTATATTATATAATTTTATTCAATTACTTTTTTGAATTTTCTTATTTCTACTTAGCTTAGCTAAGCTAAACAATAAATTAACTAAAAACAAACTCTGCTAAATAGATACTACTGATGAAATTCATTAAGTATTATTTAATTACCATTCACTTATTTATTTATTCATTTATTTCTAAACAACGAAATTTTTAAATGGTATTTAACTTTTATATGAATTAAAATAGTTTCATGAAAATTTAAGACAATTATTTTACAAAATTTAAATAATTTTCAAGAAAAAATCTATAATTTCAAAATATCAAATTGAATGTGTGTAATTTGTAAATAATAAAATAAGAAATTAAAAATATTCAAAATAGTAATAATTTACTAAAATATGCATTTCATATACTTAAAACAATTATTAGTAAAGTTAACCATAAACTTTTTATTATTTTTGAACTACTGGAGTTGATATGAATATTTGCATCTAAATTTTGAGAACCATTATTACCATTTGTTGAAGTTACTTTTTCGCTAACCCAATTAGAATCATTCTAACTAACACAAATATTATTATAGTTATTTAATGGAACAGTGGCTTTCACATTAGTAAACTTATCAAATCCATAAATAGGATCAGTTGTAACAATTAGATTTGGATAACTTGGTGTAGTTAAAGCAGGAGTTAAGTAAATATTTAAATTATTATTACTATCCACATATGTGTAGGCGATACTTCCATTTTCAAGAACTCTCCAATCATCTGACGCACTAATTTAGTAATTCTATAATTGTGTAGGTTGCACCAAAATAGAACCATCAACTCCGCTGAGTAAAGCTATATAAGCCTAATCTGCAGTAGGTCTTATATCTTAACGATTAAAGTTTTAAACCTTAGATGATGGGATCATGGTGTAAGCTAGTAAAATGTTTTTA